CAAGGGACGATTGGTCAGCTGCCCGCTCGTAATAAGCTCACGTGCTACGTGACGCCACACAGGCTCATAAAAGGGTGTTCCACACTCGTCACTGGGGCTACAGATTGCGGTGACTGACACTCTCACGTTTAAATTCACATATACACCCAAGAAATGGCGGGGGGATAGCCGCCGTGATAGCTAAGTGGTTAGAGCATCGAACGCGTTATTCGAAGGTCGTAGGTCCAATTCCTGCTCACGTCAAGTTATTTTTTCAGATACGTTTCTTTCTCCTTATTTACATGACATTGGTTTTAATAACTTCCCCTATACATTCCTTGGCATTATTGTCTGTTAGATCTCATTAATAATTTGTCAAAACACGGAAGAACGAGCCCTGAGGTATACACTTATTTCCCTTATATATATATATATATATATATATATATATATATATATATATATATATATATATATATATAGTTTTAACTGTTCAGTTCAACCAACCAACACTGCAACACTGCGATTGATAATGTTGGTTCCGTCGCGACTGAAGGTCCTGTTTGTGAAGGGACTATGTGGAGGAGACTACCATTTTCTCACGAGGGTACTTTTGCATTTGTTGAGCGTTTCGCGATCAAGAATTTCAATGCAGATCTCTACTAATCACCATGAAAGTGGCTGTGTGACATTATTGCTTTGCAACGTGAATCCACCACTGACACAAGTGAAATAAAAAATCAAGCTGGGAGCGTGTGCATGAAGTCGGGCTGGAATGGTCAGTGGTATTCTCTCTGACGATATACATATATATGTATATACAGTAGGAGCTCGTTAATTTGTATTTCACGGGCCAGGTGAAACAATGCCAATGTAACAAAATGCTGTATTGTTGTAAGTATAAAGAAAAGAACATGTTAATGTCTTTTACAACACTTTATTTTCGTGACGAATTCGTAAATTCGAAATATTGCGCTTGAGAGCCCAGTAAAAGCCGCGGTTTTCGTCTTTTCACAAAGTGAACGCAGCTAAAGACAACCGTATTTTCGTCTGAAACGTCCTCTAAACCTTATTCGCACAAAAAAACGCGCTTGTGGATGGTGACCACGGCCACGCGCGGCCTTTTCGTGAACGCTGTTCTCGCTCCTTTGCGTCGCACATTTGCGGCGGTTCGCGCTCGGCTCGCTTAGAAGACCGTTCAAATTAACCAGGTGGCGGCCAAATATGACCCAAATAATGAGAATTTGATGCAGTCATACGACTATCATGCTGTCCGGAATCAGAGAACATGTCCGAACTATGCGATTTTCTGAATTAGCGAGTGTTCAACCAAGCAGCTTTCGCTGTGCATGCATTCAAGCTGTGACGAAATTACTGAGTGCCTGGCTCGCTGATTTCAATTTTGCTTCAGGAACACATATCATTTGGTACACGAGCGCTTAGCGTTTGCACTTCTGCCTTGTTTTGTTTTCACCAGCTGGTTTTGCACGAGTGCGGTATAACAGAGACCCAGTTCGTAAACCTTTATAGTTCACTCCTCGCCATGAGCTAGTTGGATTGATGAGCCCAAGCTCGGTATTGGCCTAGACTTCCTCTTGAAAACTTCTATGGCGTAAACCAATTTCGTAAATTAGCACGCTGAGTGCTATTAGTTCTCTGTCGTAACGGAAATCGTTGAATTTCGTGGACACATGCCATTCATCGTCACTTATGTAAGCACGTGGTCTCTACCCGAGTTTGACGTCGACTTTCTTATTTGGGTGTGATAACCATTATGTAGGCGCACTTTGGGTTGTAGATTACTTTATTTTTTAAGGAAATTTCTGCTTTGCAGCTCTTTCACCTCAAACTATAGGTATAGTAGACCTCGATAACAATATTTTAACAAGTTCTGTTCACTTTGAGTACTTCGCTACATCCACCTGCTGTAATTTCACTCAATGGTTGTTTCCAGAACGAGGCAGCGGACACTTGCTTCCGGGACACACTAGTATTCAGAAAAAAACGTTTAATAATGTGAAGAATGAAAAAGAAGAGCAAAGATGCAGTTCGAAATGCCATGAACTTCAAATGCGTTAAAACATATTATGGGATGCACAGATTTGTACAGCAAATGAAAAATGAAAAATGTGAAAATGCAACATAAACTTCAGAACACTTTAAGACACCGATACTAGAGTATAGCCGTGTTTTAATTGTTAGGTTAATGATTCTTTTATTGGCTTGTTAGTAGTGTTGTACTGATGGCGTGTTTGTGTGTACGGTAATCAGGGGGAGTTGTCCTCCATACGAGGCTTAGTGACAGCAATAACGCCGTGTTCGTGGCAGTGCTTATTGTGAAACAAGTTGTGTGCGTTTGCTTGAACGTTGTTTTTCTTCCCGTTTTCTATTCCCCCTGTCGTTCGTCCTGGAAGCTGCGGGATGAGGAGGAAGTGCAGCCTTCCGGCTTCCACCGACGTGTTTGGTGACCCCTGCCCCGGTACCTACAAGTACCTCGAAGCGCACTACCAGTGCATCGCAGGTACTATGGCGGCAGCATTATTCTACTTGCGAGCTGTGCGCCTTTACTACTAGCTGCATGCTTGCACTCTTCTCCTGTCTGCACCGCATTCCTCGCGTAGACGCATGCTTCATTCACTGTTAGTCTGATCGAAATGTTGAAGGACTGATAAAAAGAGTCCCTTGGTTTCTTCTTGCGTTGTGTAAGCAAGTTTATTATGCAACGCATGCTAGCCCGAACAGAAACCCTGCTTTAGTTGATTGTATCGACCGGAGAGGCAGGGTATACCGGTGGGTCTTTGTGTGTTTGTGTGTGCAAAATATGAACAGAAACGAAGACTTATGCAGGCTTATCCCCGCTGCAAGAAGTGGTCTTTTGCGGCTCGCTCTTTATCCTGAAAAGTTTTTACTAGACTTGATAGTCCGTTCTTGTCACCACATTTTCGAGATCGCTTCATCTTACGTTTCATGTGTATCAGGTTACGATTCATTGACGGGTACTTCCTGTTGATAAGTTTATATAGTCAATATTGTAATGTAACCACAATGACAGTCGTTTTGGATATAGTTGAAAAAGGTACAACAATATTAAAAAGAATAAACGCCTAGAAAATTAGAACACCTATAGAAACACTACGTAACTGAATACGGTCTTCATTTTAAGAAGTCATTACCCTTTTCGACCCTCCTCTTTAGGAAAATACTGGGAAGTACGACTATCCTACACGTGTTACATGCTTAAAAAAGGAGTTCTTAGAGTATAATGTAATAATAAGTTCTGTAAAGTTACGCGTTTAGTTCAGAGCCCCGTGTACCGCTCTTGAGGAGCGGCTTGCGTGTGTACTTGTCACTTGCACGTTGGTCACCTTGGCGGCTATCTCACGTTGTGTAGGCGATGGTCGGGCGCGTCAAGGTAGCGCGCTCTGAACCCCCAAAAAACACACTCGAAGGCGGTCAAGTGCGACGCCGTCGGAGTTAAGCTTAACGGCGGGGCGATTTTCGCTGACTGCGAAAGCGTTACATGGCGCGTGTTATCTATCTATCTATCTATCTATCTATCTATCTATCTATCTATCTATCTATCTATCTATCTATCTATCTATCTATCTATCTATCTATCTATCTATCTATCTATCTATCTATCTATCTATCTATCTATCTATCTATATATATATATATATATATATATATATATATATATATATATATATATATATATATGTGTGTGTGTGTGTGTGTGTGTGTGTGTGTATAGAGAGAGAGAGAGAGAGAGAGAGAGAGAGAGAGCATCGAACGCGTTATTTGAAGGTCGTAGGTTCGATTCCTGCTCACGGCTGGTTATTTTTTCATCCACTTTTCTTTCTTCTTATTTACATTCCATTGGTTCTAATAACTTCCCCTGTACATTCCTTGGCATTACTGTCTGTTAGATCTCATTAACATCGTGTTAAAACACGGAAAAACGAGCCCTTAGGTATACACTTCTTTCCCTTATATATATATATAGTTTCAACTGTTCAGTTAAACCAACCAATACTGCACCTTTTGGAAGTACTGCTTGCTCAGGAGACTGTCTGGATTCTTGCTCAATATGCAGAATGCAGACAGCGGTAGCATTAATGCGATTCACAGCATTGCGCGCCTTCATACAAGGCACTTTGTGCTTACATTAACAAGCAAGTCGGGTAGTGTTTTCATTTTGTTTTTGCATACATTACATCACTGCTCGGAGCCTTTGTCAACGGCGGCTTCTTGCTGTTTCACAGCGTGCCCGTTAAAATTCTCGCTCAGACGCAACACTGCGATTCGTGGAAATGTAAATTCTTCGTTTCCAGGTGCCGCCCTAACAAAATTCGAATTTCAGCCGCAGGTGTTTTCACTTACGGATGCAGCATTTGCGGCTCCTCTTTGTCACTTCTGCGTAAGAGACTCCAGCAATGTTTCACTACATATGTCGCTGCCTTGGACATCTATTACTCCTTACCAGGCTGTTTTTGCTTGGCAGATCTTTTGTCATTGCCCGTAGTTCACGTCTTCTGTGCCGTCTTATTTCTTTTATCTATCAACCACGCTTTCTTTATGTCTGCTGCAAAGTTAATCTCGATTCAATTCAGTTTATTTGGGCACCACAGAGGACATTAAAAAAGTCAAAGCAGTGATGCTTTAGGTCGGGAGCAAGGAGCCGCTGATACCCGTGCCACGCGGGCAGAGAAAATGGCATTTACCTCCTAATGCCTTCAGATTTAATGTCATTCGCGCGTAGCCACACGAATGAACGAAATGGCACTCGTCCAAATTCCATTCGTCACCTATAGTGCCATCGCCAGAACTCATTCGACGGAGAAATGCGTACTCTCGACGCCACAGCTGATTAAGTAATTGCACAAAACGACATTTGATTCGACTGGAAGAAAATCTTTCACCTAATTTATTTACACTAATCACTTAAACAAGTGCTTAACAACTTATCTTCAGCTGGTAGACGCTGTAAAATAAATGCGACAGGCGCCATTTCATTTTTACGCTGTGAATCGTACTAGCATTGGCTTAAGTTGCTGCATGGCCGGTTGCAACATCGTGAAACATAGTAACGAACGAAATCTAACGGCAGCGTAATATGCTTATTTATACACTTATTTATTTTCTGATGTGTATGAAGCTTGTGAACGCTTGTTTATTTTTTATTGCTACTCACCCAATGCTCACCACTAAGGTGCTGCGATCGACATCATCAAGTCAAATGTCATTCGCTTTGGACGTGTAGCAGCGCCGCCGAAAAAAAAAAGTCATTCGGGAATTAGCTGAATGCCTTCGCTACCGAATGCCATTTTCTATGCCCGTGTGGTACGGGTTAAAAGCTAGACGAAGACTTTCGCACCAGTTGAAAAACATGACAACAGCAGCATGGGGTCACTATAGTCTTGACACAATATCAAAAGAATGTACGGATTTCCATTGTAAAACATGCAGAAAATGTTTTCAAGGAGAAAGAGCACAGATTATTTATTGTAGGAAACTCTTTACAATAAGTGGTAGTAAGTAGCCGATCATTTAGAGACCATGTTTAGAACGCATGTAAATGGTTTTCCATTCATCAGCGGCTCGAGGGCTATAAGGTCGGTTTGGTTGGCCTTTTTGAACGTTCGAGTTGATTGCGCCATTCGAGTATTTAGCATAGAAATAAGCCTGCCGACCTACAGACTACTTTGCACAGCGACTCAGACACAATTTTATTTTATTTTATTCGAGAGAGTTGCGATCTCGCCTTTTTTATTTTTTTTCGAGTCCCCAGTTTTGAGTATGGTGACATTAAATTGAGCAGCTCATGAAGCGCAAAGAACATGCGCACAACAGCGCCCCAGCTTATCGTCGTTTGTTCGGTGTGTTACCCTTACACTGTGGTGTTAGGGAACGGGAACATAAACATGAGAGGAGGGAAAAAAAAAACAAGGAGAAAACTAACAGGAAAAAAATAAAGCTTGCGTCCAATGAATCTGTTGTGCCGAAAACACGGAGACCAATGAAGAGAGAGCAAAACGTGGGCTGCATGTTTCAGAAATGAAAATCGTTTGTCAGCATGACAGTGCGGCGAGAAGATAGCTCAGCTGAGACGAGCGAACAGAAATGTGAAAACACACACACAAACGACTTCCTTCGTCGCGGTAACCGAGCTTGTGCCAGATCCCAAGTGCCGCGCTTGATTCCTTACATTATATATATATATATATATATATATATATATATTGTAGTGGAGCATACGCACTAACGTGTATGCGCCTTCCAAAGAGAAGGAAAAACCCCGTGCTCTGATTGCACGAGAACCTAGGCCGCCTTTGCGAGGCTTGTCGTACGGCCATTTTTCGTTGCGACATCGTTGCGACTTCTCCGGTTCAATAAACGTCATCACATTTGGTGGAGGCTGCTGAGATCCCCAAGCAGACCTGGAGCTCCGCTCTCGCAAGTTGCCCGAGAGACCACTGCAAAACATGACTGACGCAGTCGCCAACCAGCCCATCCCAGCCCAGCCAGCACCACCGGCTGTCCCGTCTACCTGCCCCGGCGCTACTCGCCAACGGGACCCACCAATCTTCAGCGGCAGTGGTGAGCAAGACGTCGAAAACTGGCTCTCTTTGTACGAACGCGTAAGCGCCAGCAACAAGTGGGACAACGATTCTAAGCTCGCCTACGTTATCTTTTACTTGGCAGACGTAGCAAAACTTTGGTTTACAAACCGCGAAACCGCCATCACCAACTGGTCCTCCTTTAAGACACTCGTCACTGAAGCGTTCGGCCGACCAGAGGTCCGCAAGCTCCGCGCTGACCAGCGCCTGCGCCACCGAGCCCAGCAGCCTGGCGAGACATTTACCAGTTACATAGAGGACGTGCTCGACCTCTGCAAGCGTGTGAATCCATCTATGCCCGAAGAAGAGAAAATTCGGCAGATTCTCAAGGGCATCGAGGATGGCGCATTCCAGATGCTGCTAGCGAAAAGCCCGAACACGGTGGCCATCCTCGTAAGCCTCTGCCAGAGCTTTGATGAATTGCGCCGTCAGCGTTCCATCGCCCGACAGAGTGTCCCACCGCCGGATTCGATCTCGGCCGTCGCACTCACAAATGCCAACGGTTGCCAAGAAAGTTTGTCACACCAGATCAAAGACTTCATCAGGGAGGAAGTCGCCCGACAGCTCTCCCTGCTGCCGCATAGTGACGCGCCCACCGCAAGCCTGCCTTCGACACTGCAGCAGGCCATACGCACTGAAATTTGTGATGTCCTCCCTACAGTGCAGGCCCCTTACGCATGCACTTCAGCAGCACCTAATCTCTCAGCTGTCGGCTACGCACCACCTGCACCACCTTCACCTCTCAGCTACGCAGCTGTGGTCGCGCGGCCCCCACCACATCCAGTCGCCTTATCAGCTCCACCTCCTCCGGCCTCGCCTCCAGTTTACAGGCCCTCACCTCGCTTTTTCCGTCGATCTAATGAGTGGCGCACCCATGACAACCGTCCTATCTGCTTCGCCT